AAAAAAATGATATTATCTTTATGATGTAAAAAAAAATATGGAAAGCACTCTAAAGGCTCATTAATGGAGGATCACAGTACATCTTAAAAAAATCATTCAAACGTTCACTTTGTTAATCTGTAAGACACAGGAGGCTGAGCCATCATTTCTAAGCAGAAGGAATCTTCTAAGGTTCTTTGTTAAGTTACGCTGAACTTTTAGCTTTTCATTCTTTGGAGTTGACTGTTGATTTGGGTTTTTCTTTGAGGCTCCCAAAAAAGCTTCTTATATGTGTGCATTTATTTTTTTCAGTTAGTGACAACTTTTAATGAATCTTGTTTCACCCATGGGTGAATTTCCATAGCAATTTATGTAAAATTTCCTTAGGAACTTGAGATTTCTATCTTGTACTACAGTTACAGATGAGCATGTTTTGTTTTCTGCTAGATTTTAAGCTTATCTAGAACAAGAATTGGTTATGTAACTTTTCTTAGTACTCCTAGCTCTTTGAGTAATGAGGAATTCTTTTTACATGATTAGCCTGTAGGTATTCTTACTATAAATGGATAAGAATGCATCAATATTTAAATGCTGGAAAGGGTGGAGAATGTTCCTCTCCTTCAAGTTTGGTATTTTCCATCCCTATTTTTTTGCTCAACATATTAGGTAGGTAGGTAGAAAGATAGTTCTATTTTGTTCAAAACAGGGGAGCTTTTCTATATTTTTCAGTTTTTAAAAATGAACATGTAAAACTTTTTTTTTTTTTTACTTTTATTAGAAAACTAAGCTATTTTACAAACTGGAACTGGATTTAAAGGTGCTAATAAATTCCTTCACCCCAATCTTCATTTATCTTCCACAATTAAGCTCTAAATAAACAATATATTTACATAAAACATTCAGGCATGTATCTATATTTACGAAGTGTTACCATTTTGCCAGTTCATACACAGTGCACTTTTCTTCATGTTTACATAAAGAACTGTTTTAAAAATTGTTATTTCTAAATGCATATAAAATGGTTTCTTAGACACAATACCAAAGACACAAGTGACAAAAGAAAAAATAAATTTAAACAGATAAAAAGATAAAAATAGACATCATCAGAATTAAAAACCTTTTTACTTCAGAGGATACCATCAAGAAAGTGAAAAGACAACTCACAGAATGGAAGAAAATATTTGGAAACAATATATCCAATGAAGGGCTCGTATCTAGAATATATGAAGAGCTATTACAACTTAATAATAAAAAGACAACCCATGAAGAGAATGAGGAGCCAAGCCACAGAATGGGAGAAAATATTTGCAAAAGACGTATCTGAAAGAGGACTGTTATTAAAAATACAACAAAGAACTCAAAACTCAACAATTAGAAAATGAACAATCTGATTTAAAAAATGGACCAAAGTCTTGAACAGACATGTCACCAAAGAAAATATACATATGGAAAACAAATATATGAAAAGATGCTTCACATCATATGTCATTAGGGAATTGCAAATCAAAAAGATTTGACACTGCTGGAGGAATTCAGAGCCATACAGCCACTTTGGAAGATGGCTTAGCAGTTTCTTATGAAACTAAACAGACTTACAATATGATCCAGCAGTCATGCTTCTTCATATTTATCCAGAGGATTTGAAAACTTACATTCACACAAAAGTCTGCACACGAATGTTTATAGCAGCTTTATTTATACTTACCTAAACTTGTAAGCAACCAAGTGTCCTTCAGGGGGTGAATGGTTAAATAAATCATGATACATCCATACAATGGTATATTATTCAGTACTAAAAGTAAATGAGCTATTAAGCCATAAAAAGACAATGAGGAACATTAAATGCCTATTACTATGTGAAAGAAGCCAATCTGAAAAGGCCTCTATAACTATATGTCAGCCACATAAGATTCTGGAAAAGACAAAACTACGGAGACAATAAAAAGATGGGTGGTTGCCAAGGTTAGGGAGGATGGAGGGATGAATAGGCAGAGAATGGAAGATTTTTTGGACAGTGAAACTATTCTATCAGATACTGTAAGGGTAGATATATACTAGTACCATTCTACACTAACCTAAATTCATAGAATGTACCACACCAAAGATGAGCCCTAATGTAAAGTATGGACTTTTGATGATAATGATGTGTCAATGTAGGTTCATCAGTTGTAACTAACTGCAAGATTTTTGATAATTGATTGGGGAGGCTGTGTCAGGGGGGCAGAGAGTACATGAGAACTCTGTACTTTCTGCCCAATTTTGCTAGGAACCTAAAACATATCAATATATAATCTATTTGTGACAGCGTGGATGGACTTAGAGGTTATTATGCTAAGGAAATAAGTCAGCAGAGAAATGTAAACACCATATGATTTTACTGATATGTGGACTCTAAAGAACAAAATAAATGAATATATGAAATAAAAACAGATTCATGGATGCAGAAAACAAACTGATGGTTGCCAGATAGGAAGGGATTTGAGGGACTAAGTGAAAAAGGTGAAGTGATTAAGAAGTATAAATGGGTAGTACATGATAGTCACAGGGATGCAGAGTACAGCATAGGGAATATAGTCAATAATATTGTAATAACTATGTACAGTGCCAGGTGGGTACTGGAAATATCAGAGGGAACACTTTGTAAAATATGTGATTGCCTAATCACTATGGTGTACTCCTGAAGCTAATACAAAATAATATTGAATGTAAACTGTAATTGAAAATGCAATTAAAAAAATGAAATAAAATTCATTATTAAAAAGATAGCCCAATTTTAAAAAATGGACAAAGAATCTGGATAGACAGTTCTCCATAGAAAACATGTAAATGAGAGACAGTAAAGCAACAAGCAGACTGTCAAATTACAGCGGGGAGGGTAGGGAGATCTGGAGAAGATAATAGATCAACCGAAAGACTTGTATACATGCATATAAGTACAACCAATGGACACAAAACTCTGGGGAGGGAAGGTATGTATGGGAGGAGGGGCAATGGTAAGTTATATACACAGATAATAATTTAATAAAAGAAAATAAGGGGGAATAAATAAATAAATAAATAAATAAATAAATAAATTCTTTGGCTAAATTAAAAAAATAAAGAAAAAGAAAACATAAATGGAGAGTAAGCCCATAGAAACATGCTCAACATCATTAACCATCAGGGAAATGCAAATCAAAACCACAGTGAGATACCACTTCACACCCAGTAGGATAAGTATAATAAAAAAATGAACAATGACAAATGTTCGTATGAATGTGGAGAAACTGGAACCAGCCTACACTGCTGTAAATGAGAATGTAAAATGGAGTATCCCAGTTGGAGAAAAGTCCAGCAATTCCTCAAATCATTAAATATAGGGTTACCATATAATCTTCCCATTCTACTCCTAGCTTTAAATCCAAAGGAAAAGATGATGTATGTCCACACAAAAATGTGTACTTGAGTGTTAATAGCAGTATTATTCATAACCACTAAGTGGAAACATGTTCATCAATTGATGCACAGGTAAGCAAATGTGGTATCTCCATACAATGGAATATTATTCATTATTTGACAATAAAAGGGAGTGAAGTACTGTCACATGCTACAACATGGGTGAACATGGATGAACTTTGTAAACATTATACTAAGTGAAAGAAGCCAGTCACACTGAACCTTATATTGTATGTTTCTATTTATATGAAATGCCCAGAATACTCAACTATATAGAGACAGATTGTAGGTTAGTGTGATTGCCTAGGACTAGGGGATATGGGTAGATTGGAAGTGACTCCTAAGGATTGAGGGGTTTCTTTTTTGGGTGATGAAGATATAAAAATTAATGTGATGATGGGATGCACAACTGTGGTAATATACTAAAAGCCATGGAACTGTAATGTTAAATGGGTGAATTATATGTTATGTGAATTGTATCTTAGTAAAGCTGCTACAAAATGCATAATCTCTAAGAATAAAACCATGTTTTGACTTGTCTTGCTGAAAATTCAAGCAAAATAAACAAACAAATGAACCTTCTAGATTTATTTCAAAGATGCAGGATTTCTGACTGCCTTTTGCTATTAAAAGAAATTTATTACAGTATAAATAACATCAAGTTAAAAACACACAGAAAAATAGGCTTAATCCCACATTTTATAACTTTAGGCATGTGGAATAGGACTACTTTTTGAGACCATGTACCCAGTGTTTAATATCCCAATAATTATTTTGGCATTAACATAAATGTAGATCTTATATTGGCAATGTGCTATGTGGCTATTGTCTGTTTAGTTTACAGTGTAAAGACTGTTGCTATTTCAGTTCTCCATGACAACCTAAACAAGCACAGGAATTACTTGTCATAGAGGAAGTGCAGAGTAGTGGTTTGGAACTTGAACTCTTGGAGTCATATGCTGTGGTCCTACTTCTACCTCTGCCACTAACTGGAATCTTCTCTGGGTTTATCTTTATCCTAGGCTGCTGTAATAATTTAAAGAATTAATACATATAAAGCACTTAAACCAGTACTAAATTCATAGTTTCTTTGTTTTCTTAATTTCGCAGCCTACCTATATACATATTAGGTAGAGCTGCTACATCTCGTGGGCTTGATAAAGTGGCCCAATGTATTGTAGTAGGCATCCTGTAGAGTCCCATGGCACAGACTTCTTGTTCATCTGAGCTGGTCACTCCAGGTGTGCCCCCTGCCTTGTGGGTATGTTTTTATCCACCACATGTGGGTGTGGGACAAGGCCGTATTGTGTCTCTGTCCCTCCTACCAGCCTCTATGTGGCTTATTTATATCTTTGGTTGTAGGACTTCTGTTCAGCTAGATTTCAGGAGTTTCAGTTAGATTGTTCTATAGTCTAGTTGTATTTTTTATATGGTTGTGGGAGGATGCGCGTATTGCATTTATCCATGCACTATCTTGAGCAGAAGCTCTAAATTCCATCTTTAAGCCTTTTGGCTGGAGTCTTCTGGCTGAAGTACTCCATGGCCAGGACATCAGATAGTCCTCATCTGTTGTTTCTTCTCCTCAGTGTCCAACAAGCACCCATTTGTGGACAGCAATCTTCTCTACCAGTTCAGAATGAACTTCCGGCGGAGGCGAAGACTCATGGAGCTGCTCAATGAAAAATCCTCTTCCCAGGAAACTCACGACAGTCCCTTCTGCCTGAGGAAGCAGAGCCACGACAACCGGAAATCTACCAGTTTCATGTCAGGTAGGTCAGTTCCATTGCTAAGCCAATCACATGATTTTGTCTTTTGAGAAATAATATATAATAGTAATAACTCCCCTTTGTGAAATTCTGTTCTCTAGCAAATTTTTATTTATTCATGACCAAGAAGCATGCAAAAGAAAACAACAACCAAATTGTTCTTGGGGAGTCAAATTAGATTATCATGAAGTCTATTTTATAAAATTATGTATTTGAGTTATAGAAAAATTCTGAAGACCTGAAACCTATATGTGCATGTTGACCAATGTCACCCCGATAAATAAATAAAAAGAACACCTCTTAAGCTGTCATACCTTATTTACTTTTCATTTGTAAACAATTGTTGTCATTAGTTATACAGTGTTCTAAGCATTGGAAAGCCATATATTTTAAGGATGAATAAAGACTTCTGAGGGCATATGCAACTAAAAGGCAGCTGGTTATCCTTCCAGTCCATGCTTCCCTCAGGAAAAAAAAAAAAAAAAAAGGCAACTAGTTATTAATCACTTATGAAAGGGTGACACTATGTAAAGCAGACATTAGCTCATAAAGCACAATAGCCTGGGTTATTACATGTAAGATCAAACAGTCGCATACTGATAGTGAAGCCTCACAGAAATGATGGTGACTGATGTTCTCAAAGATAATCGCATTCATCCAGAAGAGGTTAGCCTGATGTGTCATTCTGTGTAAGAGGCTGAGGAGTGTAAACGGGTATCAGCTCCTCTGAAAACTTGGCATTGACTGTGGTTGGCCTAAGGTCTGAATGCTCTGGGCTTAACCTGAGGACAAAACGTCCATGGGGGTCTTGGCTGTGGATAGGGAGTGGTGATGAGGACTGTATTGAGAATGTTCTGTGCCCCTATCAGTGAGTCAAGCTTGATTGCACATTTAATTCTCACAATAACTTGAAGAGGAAAGACTTTTATTCTCCCCATTTTATGGGTGCCCTACAGCACTGTCTTCTGTAAATTCAGAATAACTATTCACATTCTCACTAGTGGTAAGTTTTGTCTGTTTTTTCTTTTTGTTTTGTTTTTTTAATGGGCCCAACAGAATAAGTAATGATGATGAGAATGAGGATATAGTAACCATGGCTACCATAAAAACAGCTTTTATTTTGTGCTTCTCATGTGCCAGGCACTAAGCTGCATTTCCTTCATGGCTTCATTCATTCATCATATATACCTGACTCTCCTCTCCTTTGAGAACCAGCCAACTTCATGGCAGAGAGAGCCAGATAAGATCATTGAAGCCTCTGTCTCATATACACTTTCAAAGCCTAAATATGCGCTGTGTATTTTAGTCTCCTCTTCCATGGCTCTGGGTGATTCATGATTTCATAGGAAAGCAGGAGGCATTTATCAATACTGTTAATTGGTTAAGTGTATAGCAACACTTAATTTCCTTCCTTCCAGGGCCTGCTCAGCATGGGCTTAGTGGTTCTTAAAGTAACATTTCATGTAGCTGAGTACTTGCACATACATTATATAATCCACTTTATGCACCAATCTTTGATAGAGTATTATTATCACGTTATAGTTGGGTAAATTGAGGCTCGGAGAACTGAAGGAAATGGCCTCAAGTTATGCAGTTGGTAAATGACGGAGTTGCTACTCAAATCCTTGCTTTTCTCACTCAGAAGCCAGAATGCTTTCCCTGGCACAGGTAACTGGCCTCTGTATCTGGCGGCTGAAAGCCCATGTGCTCTAGGGAACCAAGACCACCACCCTCAGTGTCCTTGTGTCTTCCCACCCGCAGTCAGCCCCAGCAAGGAGATCAAGATCGTGTCTGCCGTGAGGAGGAGCAGCATGAGCAGCTGTGGCAGCAGTGGCTACTTCAGCAGCAGCCCCACCCTCAGCAGCAGCCCCCCTGTGCTCTGCAACCCCAAGTCTGGTGAGTGGTGGAAAGGCAGTCTCCTCTTTCTGACTATGACCTGAGGGACTTGGGCAGATGTGCGGGCTGGGTTCCCTGGGGAGCAGATTCTCAGACTGAGGGAGACTAGTGTGTGGGGATCTTATTAATCGTGTGTCCTTAAGGTCAAAACTGTTTATTGGAAGGAGGGATGTAGGGCCGGGCAGAGGAAAGCAGAGCTGCAAGACCTCTCAGCAGGGACTGCAGCTAACTCCAAGGGGAGCTGTGGATTTGGGATAGTCCTTCACAGTTGTCCAAATTTCAGGTGTGATGGCCAGGCCTTTGTACCTTCATGCTGATTAGTCATTAGGTGTTGGCTGCCCCTGGGAAGAGGGTGTGACCTTAAGCAAGAGAAATAGTTGCCCAAACAATTGAGAGCATTAGCATCTGAAGGCTGTCTGCCATTAGCAGTTCTGGCAACTGGGAGGAGCCCCTCAGTCAGTCCTGAAGGAGGGTTTGAGCAGCACATCAGTATTCCCCAGACTGCAACTGATGCAAAGATCTGTGGGTTCCCAGCACCCATAAGTGTGTGAATTATATAATTATGTAAATTATATAAAAATATAGAAATGTTATTTAGCCATGAAAAAGAAGTCCTGCCATCTGCAATAAGATGGATGGTATTATACTAAGAGATAAGTCAATCAGAGAAAGACAAATACTATATGATCTTACTTATATGTGGAATCTAAAAATCAAACTCATAGATATAGGGAACAGATTGGTGGTTGCCAGAGATGGGGGGTGGGCAAAATGGAAGAAGGTGGTCAAACTAGAAGGTGGACAGACTTCTAGTCATAAAATAAATAAGTTCTGTGGATATAATGTACAGCATGGTGACTATAGTTAATAGCATTGCATTGTGTATTTGAAAATTGCTAGGAGAGTAGGTCTTAAAAGTTCTCATCAGAAGAAAATAACACTTGTTACTGCAAGTGGGGATGGATGTTGGCCCACTCCTTAATCTACTCCTTGTTTCCCTTTACCTAGTTCATTTACTCTTTTTTCCATAGCTCTGCAAGTTAGGTATGGGCTTATTTATGTTTGCTAATATTTTCTGTCTTTACTTGGCTGGATTATAACTGTGAGGCAGGGATCTTTCTTTCCCCCTTTTGCTCCCTGCTGGTCACATATGAGGCATTCGGGAAAGTGTTTGCTGAAAGAATGAATGAATGAATGAATGAATGAAGGGTGCACCTTTCTTTTGTGTTTGTCTACAGTATTGAAGAGGCCCGTCACTTCTGAGGAACTCCTGACTCCCGGAGCACCGTATGCCAGGAAGACATTCACAGTAGGCTCATTATTTGTTTTTGTTTTTCCTGTGCTGCTCATTTTTCTGGGCCATGTCTACATGTCAGTGTGCCAAAGGGTATTTTACAGATGGAATGGAAGAACCTCTTAATTTTTCTTTTTGTTTTTGGCATAATTATAATAGTGGGCTTTTTTGATCCTTAGGCACTAAAATGACATGATTTATTATTAATACAGCATTTTAAACTCCTTTTGATGTGTCCTTAAAAAAAGCTTCCTATTGTGTAATATAATTACAGATTTTAGGGCAAATGGTAGTACAATAGTCAATAATTTCTTCTGGGTTACAGTTAGTTCTACTTAAATTGTTTAAGACATTAGGGAATCTTTAGACAGAGAAAGAAAACTGTGGGATAAATTGTCCTACTATAAGGAGTGGTGCTTTTGACCGTGTTAACATGTCTTGAGTTATGTTAACTGTTACACACACCTGATTGGGGGGCACTGGGTACCTGTGAGCATCTCCTGACCACCTGCCCCTTCTTGGAGGTCCCTCAGTGTTCTTCCCACTCCTGCTTGACAGAACCTCACCCTCTCTCCATCCCCTTCAGTCTCTTCACATCTCCCTCAATTGCCACTTTTAAACAAACACTTCTCCTTTTCTAACTTTACTTTATGGATTTAGTGGGGAAGAAAGATCTTTGCACACTCATTTACACTGCAAACGTCTGTCCAGGACTACTTCCCATTCTGGACACTGAGGAGCTATTGTACAATAGGATGGTCCCAGTCATAGCCAGTAAATATGAAAACACACTGCTAACACATCTATCTCAGGGGAAAAGTTAAACTGTATTTGGGGGTGAAACTAGGTATTCTGAACTAATGACAGAAAACCTAAAATCAATCATGTGCCTGTCTTTTTGAGAATATACACAGAAATGTCATAGGTTTTCCTGCCTTTTCTCGGTATCTAGCATTCAAGAGACAATTGATTGCATTTAAAAAAATATTTTATTGATTTTTTACAGAGAGGAAAAGAGAGGGATAGAGAATTAGAAACATCGATGAGAGAAAAACATAGATCAGCTGCCTCCTGCACACTCCCCACTGGGGATGTGCCCGCAACCAAGGTACATGCCCTTGACTGGAATCGAACCTGGGATCCGTCAGTCCACTGGCCAACACTCTATCTACTGAGCCAAACTGGTTTTGGCTGATTGCATTTTTAAAAAATATATTTTTAAATTGATTTTAGAAGAGGGAGAGAGAGTTAGAAACATCAATGAAGAAAGAGAATCATTGATTGGCTGCCTCCTGCATGCCCCCTACTGGAGATTAAGCCAGAAACCTGGACCATGTGCCCTGACTGAGAATCGAACTGTGACCTCCTGGTTCATAGGTCAGCGCTCAATCACTGAGCCAAGCCAGCCAGGCTTGATTGTATTTTTAAAGTATTTCTTTTTGGTTTTAAATTTGTTTTGTTTGGTTTTGGTTTTGTTCCTGATTTTTTAAACTATTATTTTTTAAATTCTTTATTGTTGAAAGTATTACATATGGTCCCTTTCCACCCTCCTTAACCCCCTTCAACCTGTCTCCATCCCTGATGATGGTTTTAAATTTCATTGCCTTGCTAGGAATTGATTGTGAATGTACAATATTTCATCTATACTTTAGTCAAAGACATGACTAGGAGCCGCCCAGGGATGGAATTACTATTTCTAACAATGATTCTATAGGAAAAGGCACCTTCTGGCTTCAAATAACTTTTAGAACAGCATCTTCTTGTAAATTGTGAGCTTTATGTACCCTTTCAATTTCTTTTGTTGGTAGAATATTGTGTTTCAGGAAAGCCAAGACTCTTCCTATTTCTTTCCATTAGTAATTTAAATTACTATTTTAAACTATAGTGACATAGCAGATCATCAAGAAAGTATCATTTGAATTTAGGGGGAAAGAGCAAACCCAGTTGAAACTGGATATGGAGAGAAGATTCAAGCATGTGTTTAAGACTTTTTATCCTTCTTATCTGATGAAATTGTATAGTGGCCTGAGAGAGAGGCAACCTGCCTGGTATTTATTGATCAGGGCCTCTACTGAAGCTGTTTTCTGCCAAACAAGTGTTTCCCGACCACAGTTTCTGCATGGAGATGCCTGTGTTTATAACAGAAGCAGAGCGTTCCTTCCACTCCTGACAGGGTAGAGATGAGACAGAAGAGATCTGCCACTGCTGGCACTTCATCCTGGGCTGGCTCTCTGTCTCTGGGGAGGTCGGGAGAATTGCCAGGGGCCTTCTGCTGATCGCTCACTGCGGTTTTCCTCTCTAGATTGTTGGTGATGCTGTTGGCTGGGGCTTTGTGGTGCGAGGAAGCAAGCCATGCCACATCCAGGCCGTGGACCCCAGTGGCCCTGCGGCCGCGGCAGGAATGAAGGTACCTCCAAGACAGCGGAGTCTGAATACCTCTCACTTTATTTCATTGTTGGTGCCACCTGTATGTACTTTGTCACCCCAAGTGTTTGGTCCCATTTTTTTTTTCTTCCAAATTTCCTTTTCCCTTTCTGAATGGGGTTGAAATGAAGCCCAAAGGGCCTGATGTAGCAACGAGGAGGGAAAGTCTTCCTACTCCTCTCACTGTGCCTCCTGGGTCTCCAAACCTTCCTTGGTTTTTCACATTTCTTCCCTGAACCAACACCGAGCTTGAAAACATGATTCTTTTTGCATAAATCTTATCTAATAATTCTACTTCCGTCCTGCACGAAGTCTGTTCCTGTGGGAAGAGAGCTGGATTCACAATTTGGCTCTACTGGTTACTAGCTCCTCGTTGACGTGGAATAAATTCCGTAACAGCGCGGAGCCGGTTCCTCCTGTCTGGAATGATGACCGCATTCTGTCTGCAGGTTTAGGGATTAAATATGGAGAAACTCTAGATGAAGCACAAAGAACTGCACAAACATAAGAAAGGTTGAACGAATTGTGTAAGATTTTTCGAAAATAATTGTTACATGTTTTTAGTACGAAAGTAGTGCATACATAGTCAAGAAATGTTGGAAAACACAGACAAGCAGAAAAAAATTATTATCGCCTATAATCTTTCCTAACTCAGAGACAACCACTGTTAAATTTTAAACAACTTTATTGAAGTATAATTGACATGCGGTGACGTGTAGCACTTTAACATCTTGATTTATATGCTTCTAGACATCTTGTTTGTGTATGTATGTGTGTGTATATATATATATACACACACATATATGTACATGTACATATATACACATGTATATATATGTATACTAGTATACACACACATACTCAAATTGTTACTTTATTTATTTATACCGAAATATGCTATAAGAGGATGTTGAGTGCCTTGCTGTTCTGCTTAGGGGTTGACTCTGCCCCCCACCCACGCCCCCAATTTGAACACCCTGTTCATACCAGGAGGTGTAGGCTCCCAGGTGCTGTGCTCTGCAAGTCACGGAAGCCTTGTTGGCTCATGTAGCCTGTGTTAGACGCCCTTCCTACCTCCTCAGCTCTGCAGTGGGCACAGCACCAAAGGAACCCAGAGCCGGAAAGTTGGCTGGGAGCATAAAGGGCGAGCGTTTGTATCTGTGCCGAGGCTGGTTTTTTCATTTTCTAATGGAACTCTTGGCTGCGGGAAGAGTTTTATATTTTATTTCCATAGTAAAGGGCTAGTATGAATTGTTCTTGGCAGGGTACTTTAGTCCTGAGCATGCACTCACTTGCCACGGGGCTTTGACTTACGCTCGTTTCCTTTGGGGAAAGCAAGGGATTTATATTGAAGCTAAAGACCTTGTTTTGCTTGGCCAAGTGTATTTAATTTATTTTAGTACATCCTCATTGATTAATATGATTAATAAGTTTTCTAGGCATTGTCTATTGATTAATTAACTCCTTAATGTATATATCGTGGTATATGTTTTTCAATTCCATATGCTCATATTTCACATGGTTTATATTCTTAGCTTCTTAGGGGGTGCACAATAGCTCTCATATGCTGTAGAGCAGTATAGAATTCACTAGAGCAGCATTTCCAAAATCATGCTACACAGCTCTCTGATCCAACAAAATCTTCTGTCCTGCAGTTGTGTGATCAAAACAGTTTGAAGCTGCTATATACTTTATTTTTCTCCTGGGAATTCATAAAGCACATTAGCATATTGTACTTTCTGTTGCATCCAGCAGGGGAAAAACCTGTTTAGATTTCCTATCACAAAGCTTTTATTATTTAATAGAAACACACCAGTGGAATCTTAAGATTGTTAAGATATAGCACAATAACTGCTCTAATATGCTTTGGGTCAAACTCTGATTGGAGTTACTGTATAGATAGATAGATACAGATAGATAGATAGATAGATAGAATAGATAGAATTGCAGTTAAGTGAAAATGACAGTGAATACCACACCCTTCCATATAACTTGCCTGTGTGTATTCATTTAAATTGCCTAGCACATTATTTTCTTACAGAAAATACAGAGTAAATTCTTTCCTATTTCACCATATGTATTAGTTGCACAATAACTCCACTTATTTAAAGAGCCACTTGTGTTACTCATGACCTGTCACATCAGCATGGCCCTTGTGTGGGAAACTTCAGGCTGGCATGTCCACTTGTGTGGGGAGGGGATGTGGGTGTGGACTCTACAGGAGCCTTCCCTGACCTGGGCCATGATTGAGCTGCTTGGTCTGGCTGGTAGCCTTTGTCCAAAACTCTCTCCAGAAGCTTCCTCTTGGCACTTCTGACTGGCAAGAGCTGGCCTAAGGCAGTACAAAGGGCCCCATTTTGCCTTTGTTGTCACTCTACACTGAACGCAACCCTCAGGTCATGGCCAGGCTTTCTCCTGCTTTCCAGAGTGAACAAGGCCTGGCGGGTGGGCCTTTGGGAGCTTTGCATCAACAGGATTTTTATACATTCGCTGGGGCACCTTTTTAAAAAAAATATATATTTTATTGATTTTGTACAGAGAGGAAGGGAGAGAGATAGAGAGCTAGAAATGTTGATGAGAGAGAAACATCGACCAGCTGCCTCTTGCACACCCCCTACCGGGATGTGCCTGCAACCAAGGTACATGCCCTTGACTGGAATCGAACCCGGGACCTTTCAGTCTGCAGACCGACGCTCTACCACTGAGCCAAACCGGTTTTGGCCGCTGTGGCATCTTAACTTCCAAAAGCAGATGATTTTGTAACTGATCGTTTCACATGTATCATTTCTCTCTCTTTTATGCCACCTACTTATGGGATAGGAAAGTTTTAAGATGTGGGCCACCAGTGTGAGGGAAGGACAGGCCTCAGACTAAAGAGACGAGGTGCCATTTCCCCCGTTCACACTTTCAGGCCTTTCCAGACCCAAAGGAGAGCTCTTTGCCTGGTTTGGACGGAGCCCTTAGTCCACGATGAGGGAAGACCCTGATGTGAACATTCAGATTTGCATCTCTAGAAAGTCTGGAAGAATTCCAGAGAACATGTGTCCTTAGGGAGTGATAAGGTCTATCTCAATTCTTTTCTGGGTTGGAATAGAGAAATCTGTGGCCTTTATGCTTAGGCCACCTAGCCCCAGTGCCTCCCAGCATTTCCTGCCTGACGCCTCTGCACAGCTGACGGAGGCTGGCGGGCTGGCCAGGCAGCCAAACTGCAGGCTGGGGCTGCTGAGGTGCAGGTAAAGATGTAATGCAGGAGGATCCCAGCTTGACTTTAGTTATAAATGGAATTGAGTTTTAGATGATTTGGTCGAATACTAGACTTTTACACTATCTCAAGCTTATTTGAAAATCTTGCCTTTGGCCTTGGCTGGGTAGCACAGTTGGTTAGAGCCTCATCCCAGGTGTGAATTCAATCCATGTTCAGGGCACAAGAATCAACCAATTAATGCATAAATAAGTAGAGCAACAAATTGATGGCTCTCTCTCTCTCTCTCTCTCTCTCTCTCTCTCTCTCTCTCTCTCTCTCTCTCTCTCTCTCTCTCTCTCTCTCTCTCTCTCTCTCTCTCTCTCTCTCTCTCTCTCTCTTTCTCAAAATCAATAATTTTTCTTTTAAAAAGAAAGGAAATTTTGCCTTTAATCCATTCTTGTTTTTCCCCTTCCCTTCTAATGACCTCCTCTTCATCAGTAGTAGCACATTTATTCCCAGAGACCAAAATGGAAGCAGATGTTACCAGATATAACCTTATCTTTAGGGATGTCTGGATCAAGACCCACACAAAACAGAGAGCAGCCGAAACTGGTTTGGCTCAGTGGATGGAGCGTCAGTCTGCAGACTGAAAGGTCCCAGGTTCAATTCCGGTCAAGGGCATGTACCTTGATTGCGGGCACATCCCCAGTAGGGGGTGTGCAGGAGGCAGCTGGTTGATGTTTCTCTCTCATCGATGTTTCTAGCTCTCTCTCTCCTCTCCCTTCCTCTCTGTAAAAAATCAATAAAATATATTTATAAATAAATAATAAATAAATAAATAAATAAAACAGAGCAATTAATTACAGTTCTAATAAGATGCTGTTTTATTTCATTTTGCTCTGCTCCCCTCCCATGCCAGAAAACAATGGTTGCAGTCTTCATTGAAATTCTCACTTGAGTCGGCAACTTTGAATTTAGAGTTATTCTTATTTTGAACGTTCTTTTACTATCACTACTACTATAGATGGGATATTTTCTTTTTTCTTTTTTTAATCACATCAATATTCCCATCTATATCCCATCCTATCACTACTATATTCTCAGGTTCTTTTACTTAAACCATATTAGAGCAGTTATTGTGCTATAATATGCATTATACATTGACCTCTCATGCAATCTGTAAACCTCTGGTGGAGAAACCTTTCATTGGCATTATAGCCAGAATGGAGCACGATATATGTTTAGTCAACCCTGCAGTGCATTTTCATCTAGAAGAGGGTCGTTTCCTATAGTTTGTCTCTGGCAACTCTATATCCATTCTTTAGGAATTCCATTTTGACTGGTGGCTTCTGGTCCAAAGAGGAAAGGAGGAAAGAAGAGAAGGAACTATAATGTGTTGAGTGTCTTCTGCATGCCTGACCCTGCACCATGCAGGCCCTTTCTGTCCAAGAGTTCATTGAGTATCAGCATCTAAACACTAAACTCCTGGAGGAAGACATCTGTTCCAGGAGGACTAATTCTGTTTTTTACCTCTTTTATCTGCTTTGAAGAGATAAAAAGGCTACAGTCTAATGCCTACCACTCACTTAAATGTGACCTCATATCACAACCGTTATATGATATTTTCTTTTTTTTATCACATCAATTCTAAAACCATTTCTGGACCACACTATCTATCATAACTTTATTTTACGTGATCCTCTAGTAGCTATTCTTCAGTCTAGTGAGGGCAGATTTTTTTTTTTTAGTTTCACAAGTACATCATCATTGTGCCTATGTCTGCCCCTCAAGCAAATCTAATTAAGTGACTCTAGCACTTAAAGTCCTCTAATGGCTTCCCATTACCATAAGTTCTAGAC